CTCACAAGAAAAGAAAGGTTAGTCAAAGTGGCCTTTCAAAATGAGACGCGTGCTGCTTTGAAGGGTGTAAAGGGCCGGGCATACTTCACGCGATTCCAGTCGCGACGCGATTTGGCAGTATTCCAAGTGTTCATAATTTATTGTAAACACCTTTTGAATGTACAGAAGATAGGACATTTTTCAAGCCACGTTAGTTATACACACTACGCATGTGCAGTTAGCTAGTGTTGGATCTGAAGACTTCTGGCGAATTGCCAAATCGCGTCGCGACTGAAATCGCGTGAAGTATGTCCGGTCCTTAATGGCAGTGTCCGGGCAAAAACTCGATTTTGAGATTTTGTGCTTATACGGGCCTATTCGCCATGCTGAATCCGAAAATTCACATTGGAAAGCGCAAAAACGGCGAAAAAGGGCTCTAACACAGGAGGGAAATCAGCAGGTGAGCGGGGCTTCCCCCAGTGCGATTTCAGGCTCCCAGCGTCCGGAGTGATTTTCTCGATTCCGCTAGCCGTCCTAACATCGCTAATGGTCATGTGCGAATGATTGGCTTGAAACCGGAAGCGAGAAGGTCGCTTTGGAAGCCGGGAACGTGAATTCGCAGTGGGAAGGACTCCGCCCACCTGCTGATTTCCCTCCTGTGTTAGAGCCGTTTTTCGCCATTTTCGCGCTCTACAATGTGCATTTTCGGATTCAGCGTAGCGAATAGGCCCAGGTAAGCACAAAATCTCAAAATCGAGTTTTTGCCCGGACACTGTCTTTAAGGCTCGGACAGAGTTTAGGCGATTTGATCGTTGCGACCCAATCGCCACAAGACAACTGTTACGAGTTCATTGCATGCCGATCAGCTTGCATTTCGGTTGTGATACTTTTCCAGCTCGAAATTTTTGAATGTAAAGTGAAAATGAATGAAAATCGCGGCGATTAAATCGCGACGATCAAATCCGTGAACGCTGTCTGAGGTCTAAGACGCTGAATCCAAATCTTCCATATCTGCTGCCGCTTCTTGAGTGAGGAATTACGAAGGTTTTTATAAGCAGAAATTGTTGGTGCTGTCGCGGATTGCGCGACTTCTTCAAGGAGTCCGCTGCCCGCCGCGTAGAGGGTCCCAAAACGCCAGTCCTCGCGCGCTGCCCCGCCCTCTCGCTCGCTACTTATGCCGCAACTTATCTTCATAAAGTCACGTACGCCACATGTGTCTACTCGCGAGCGGTCGGCTTCAATGCACTCCAACTATCGATCGATCAAGCAGTGCGCCCCTTTCCAACTCACGCGAAGAACATCACCACGTAAGGAGGACTGGCCCGACGTCTCGAGGTAACCCGGCTGTGCGCTCCTTGCTTGCCGCAGGGCTGAGGAGCCACTCCGCGGGGGGTTTTCTTTCTATCAGCCCCCGGGTAACATCTGGCTGGCGTGTTCTCATCCTATTGTATTGAGTTGTTTGTGTGTTGGTGAAGTTCGGGATAAATGGTGGGCACCTTAAAGGCAGTGGATCGGCAAAACTCAACAACTGAGGATTCTAACGCGATAGATTCCTTATCGCCCAAGTATGAAAACAGTGCAATCCTGGTTGCACAGCATGCCTTCGCTGCCGAGAAAATGGCTATCAAACTTACACGCGCATACCAGTCTTACACGCTCCCGGACGAGTTGGCAATTTCCTCCTCACTACTGGAGGCTGCCCGCCGCAATGCTATACCATGGGGTCCCGCAACGATCCAGCATCATCAGCCTTCTCCACTCGTCCAGTTCCGAAGGGAAGGGCATTGAAAAACGCTAGTTTTAGCCGTTTTCAAGCTCGCAGAAGTGGATTTTCGGGATCAGCGTATTGAATAACCCCAGGTAAGCGAAAATTTGACTAGGTTGAGATTTGCCGAGCCATTGCCTTTAAGAGTCCTATGGTGTTTGATATGAGTGTTGGGCTTAGGGCTTAGGCCTTAGCCCCGGGAATATCTGTGTACTATTCATGTTCGCTGTGTGCTCCTGATGTATTGATGTCCCGGAAGGTTCTGTCAGTAGGAGGACAGGCATGAAGCCGGCTAATGCCAGTGTGCTAGTGATCCACAACTGCCAACAGTGTGTGGAGCAGCTTAAGATAGCTGGCAGTTGAGATTGGGGAGTAAGTTGGTAGCATAGGGCCTCTAAGATGTGTAGTGTATCCGTGTGGCAAGCCAAAAGAGCATGGCGCAAGCTAGCTACCTATCCTCACGTATCGGTACTTCATTTACGGATGGAGTCCTCAGCTCCCCTCGCCGATGCAGGAGAGCACTTACCATTGACGTTTGGAGCCGGGGACCCCAATCTGCGACAGGTGCAGCTAGGCTAAACGTGACATTTTTCCTACTGCTCAAATAATTTTCGGGTTACTCTTTGTAATAAATATCTTAATTAGAACATCTCCACTCAGCTCTGCAACTTTGGAACACTAACAAGAAATGGATACTCGGTGACCGTGGCCATTAAGAATGGGAAGTATACCGTAAGATGCACCTCGAAACGCTGATTCTGAAGCTGTGCTCGATATCTGCGAAACGATTCTCTGAAGGAAGTCATGAACTTTTTTTCGTAGGAACCTTGTGTACTTCTGGGTAGTTAAAATCACCAAATTCGTTCTAGGTTACCGTTTGAAGCCACTCAAAGGAATTTTAAGATAGGAACCTTGTGTACTTCTGGGTAGTTAAAATCACCAAATTCGTTCTAGGTTACCGTTTGAAGCCATTCAAAGGAATTTTAAGAGGATGTTGTATCACACCTATCTAAATCATATTTAGCACTAGCTGGCTTACCCGGCTCCGCCCGGTCCTGTCAAAACACTATGTCAAAGAACGCTATCCTTATTCTTGTACGAACCTTTCCCTGTGCCCACGCTTACATGCCAAATCAATATTCTCGCTGTTTTAGTAATCAGCATGCTCGATTACCCCCCTGTGCCAACTCCCAGCCCCGTTGCTCAAACTTTGCAAAAAATCGATAAAATCGATAAAAGTAGTGGACGATTTTAAAAACTAATACTGTATTCGTAATCAGCATGCTCGATTACCCCCTGTGCAAACTCCCAGCCCCGCAAGTCAAACTTAGCAAAAAATCGATAAAATCGATAAAAGTAATCGTTAAATCTAAAAACTAGTATTGTATTCGGAATCCCCATGCTCGATTATCACCTTGTGCCAACTTCCAGCCCCGTAAGTGAACTCTGCAAAAAAATCGATAAAAATCGATAAAATCGATATCGATCGATGACGAAAAGTAGCCTATGACACCCGCACTGCCCGGAAGTGTATGTGTGCCAAGTTTGGTCCGGGTCGGTTCAGAAAGGGAATTTTCTATTCGGAACATACGTACAGACAGACAGACATACAGACAAACAGACATTCAGCTTTATATATAAGAAGATTTGAGAAGGAAAGAAAAATTCTTATTAATGATTTTGACCCTCCGCGGTAGCGCAATTTATTTATGATAAAATGGCCATAACTCCATTCAGGTTATCATTTCGCAGATATGGAAGACCGTTTTGGAATCAGCATTAGAAGGCGCATTTTTTGATATACAAGCCATTATGAATGGTCACGGTCATCAAGTACCCTTCCTTTGTAAGAAAAGTCAACGACTGATTTTACACTGGTCATGCATTGAATTTTTTGCCCATAAAAAACTCAAAATTCCTTACTTATTGTTAGAAGCCCGCAGCAGATAGGCTTGAAATCAGCGTTTCATAGTCTTCAAGTCAGTATACATCGCGTACATAAAGGCCACCTCGACTCTAGCCTCTCTTCCCTTGTCAGATTATCGAGGTTCCAGATGTCAAAGGAACCATAGGGACCACTGAGCGTCTCTTCTATTCTTTTATGAACATTCTTGAATTTCTGGAGGAACATCCACAGTAAAGCTCATGCCTCTATGGGAATTACATGAGAGATGCTCTCCGCATTGTGGTAGGAGCAATAACAAGGAAATCAAGAGATCTCTTACAGAAGATTAGCAGTTCTAGCAAAGGTTTAGTGCCGATAAAATCGGTGCGTTCTTACCTTCTCCTGCTTGACTTTTGTAAAGGTTATTCATGAACATGATCTGCTGTGAAATACGTGTCTTTTGCATATTGTGTACTTTATCACGCCTTTTATGATCAGCATTCTACCACTGCCTACGTGGTACATGCCCGACCCAATAAAGCTGCAACGCTTCTGTGTTCTAGATATACCCTCTGTTTCAACGGATTGGCGGCTGGGAGGCGGGGCTTCGAGGTTAGTCAAGGCTAGGAAATGATCAGAGAGCACGCGCGCGAGAGAGCAGACTGCGTTGCGGGCGCGAGCGGCCTTACTTAGGTCACGAACCCCGCCTTCCAGCGCTAATATAGTTGAATTAAAGGTTTATGGATTACAGTTTTATTCCGCCAAAGCTTCGTTACTTCAAAGAAAAATCGTCAGTGTTATCGTTAGATTCGCGCGAGAGGACCGCAGATTGCGTCGCGGCTGCGGTCCTCTCGCGCGGTATATAGTATAACCAAAGCGGTCGCCTTCCGCTAGCAGAAACCCTGTTGAATCAAACGGTACACTGACGAGTCGTTTTACTTCACCTCAGAAACATTTACCTTTGGCTATACTAGAGCACTAGTGAGCTGCAGGGCTACTGAGATAGATAAGGTATTGCAATGTTGACTGATTTATGCACTGTTCATTTATCTTCCACTTATTCGGCATGCTTCTGCGACGTTTTTATTTGAAGGCATCCCGGCAAAGTCTCGCTCCTAGTTTTTCATCTTTTCAGAGCCTTCTCGCCATGTTGAACCCGCATCTGGGTTTTTCAGCGCATGAAATAGGCAAAGATACTTTTTTTGCGGGTTTTTATATCCGCATTCGCTGGAAAATGCGTGTGAGTGGGCGGAGTCCGGAGTGAATGAGCGGGGTCCGAAAGACTTCCGAAGTGGATTCCAGACTTTCCAGACGCGCTTTTTCGTTTGAGACTTTGCTGAGAGGTTAGTTGGGGAGGGGGGGGGGACCTACCATTGCAACGTTGTAAAACCGGTACACCACTTTGCCGGGAGGCTGCCTTTAAGTTGCCGATGGGCCCGATTTCAAATATCAAATGACCCTGTAATGGATTATCGACCATTCAATGTGCTGCTTACTTTCATTTCCGAGGATTGCATATAATTTTGGTCACATTTACCAATGATGCAGCTAAATCGCTTGAGAACAACATCTGCTCAACAAATTGGTGATCTATTTTTTTCAACAGATTTCTTTAACACACATTTCCAACTATTTTACATCTTATCACATGTAAACTTAGGTGTTGAATCGTATGTGGCAACATCACAGCATAAAAAGTTTGTATAAGAAATAACAATAACAAATTGAATCGTATGTGCATATCAAATCAAAATAGAGTATCAGTGCCTGAAATCATTCTTTTGCCACTTTATAGACCCGTAGGGACTGGTCCAGGAGGAGCCGGAATCGTTATCGCGAGTTAAAATCACCTCCAATTGCCCTTGATGACTTTGAAACAGCGGTAGACTTCGTCTTGAAGAAGAGCTTCCGTATAGGCTTACGAAATTGTCGATTAAATACTAGTGTGACAATGCTGAAATTGAAACCATCATTCGACTTATGTGATTGATGTTCGTTATTTTTTGACATGAACACTGAAACAGCGCATTAGGTATCGAATAATCTCATTTTGAATATAAAACCAACAATTTAGCACCGGCAACAAATTCTGGTTTATCTGTATTGAAACTAACGAAGATTATACTGAGATAACATTATTTTGGACTTATTTTGGGTATATATTAGGTTGTCGCAAAAGTTCTGTCGGTTTTTTTCATCGCTCACTAAAACCCACAGAACACCAATCCAATTTAGGTATTTAGGTATCATTGATTCATATTTTTATTCTCTTTCTTATATTTGCTATATTTGCTCTCTAATCTACTCTGTCTTTACGACGTTATCGCCATGGCTTTTTGAGCAGCTCAGCAATAATCTCTCCTGAATTTTAAAAATTTTTCCAGCAATTTTCAGAGTGATAACAACGGTTATGTAGAGCAGATCCTTGGCTGCATTGCACTTGTTTTAGATTACATGGGCCACGTTTATCAAGTCCTAAATAATTATTTACTTAAGAAAAACCGCGGCTTTTGAATACGTCTACACGTAAATTTCGTACCACGTAAAATTTTCGAAGATTCCAAAGAACTGATTTTTCAACGCAAATCAAACTTGGTTATGTTGCATAAATAATCTTTATTTGTAATCAAGTTTCGATTCGTAGAAATTTCAAAAGCTTTCATGTTTTTGCTGCAGTTGTGTGTTCATGACTTAGCCGAACATCGAGATCTTCGAAGAAATAATTTTTAAAGCTAAAAACAGCAGGTTAAGGGAACCTAAAAACATTGCCGTATAGTCCGAGAATTGTTCTATTTGAGCCATACTTAATCCTTTCCGAAACATTGGAATGAAATTTTCAAAAATCAGCCTAACTTTGAGCAAATGAAAATGACCGGACAGAGTCCACGCGATTTGATCGCCGCGATTCAATCGCTACAAGACAACAAACTGTTACGAGTTCATTGCATGCCGACCAGCTTGCATTTCGGTTGTAATACTTTTCCAGCTCGAAATTTTTGAATATAAAATGAAAATGAATGAAAATTGCTGCGATTAAATCGCAACGATCAAATCGCGTTAACTCTGTCCGAGGCCTAAGAAAGAGAAGGAACACATTTAGGCCTTTTTTGCGTGGTTTTATAGCGGTTCAAAAAATCGACAAAACTTTCGGGACAACCTAATATTATATTCATTTTCGGTAAAATGATTGTTGGGTGTTCATTTAACTAACTCTCGCAATGCCATTAGTGCATGCCAGAGCATCCAAAAATCTTACGATTAGTATGAACTGACAGGTCTGAAGTTGATACGTACCCATGCCAACGAAGATTATGTACAATATGATTTAGAAAAATCCAGGATTCCGTGCGTATGCTTGCTTCTACCTTCAAAAATCTAACGTAAGTTTAGCGTGTAATGTTTCATACCGGCAATGAAAGCTTTTTCTTTACGTTCGCATCCGCTCAACAACTACTGCTTCTGCGCCTTCGTCGTGTAGTAGCCTTTAGCTATAAATGTGCGCGTGTGTGGATGATGTTGTCTCAAGCGTATGAGTATGGAAACGCCCGTAAAAAAATTGCCTGCACATCTTTCGCCCATTTTCTCTTTTAATTTTACGTCACTTGAGTTGCTTTGTGCCTTATTCTCCACATACTCTAAAGTTTAGACCTCTTGTACAAGCATCCTTTCGTGTTATCAATTATTTAGTTCACAGTAAAGGTTTGATTACTTGAGTTTGATGGGTGCAGGTGTCTGATTGCTCGAGATTCGCGTGGCGCAGTTTTACAAGCAAACGCTAAGTATAATCAAGAACGGTATCAATGGACTGCCTATGTCACCGGAACATGGTACAGAACAACGATTCCACCAAAACTGGTAGAGCTGTTGCAGCGATGTTGAAGGATTGTCTTTTTTCTCAATATGCATAGTTCATATTTTTTCTATATTAAGAAAGCAGAAAAACTGTTTTGGTTGGATTTAACGAAGAAATTGAAACTCACCCATCTATCGTGTGCACTAATATCCACGCATATGTGGTGAGTAGAAAATTCTGCCATCTATTTGGATCGCCTCGGATGTTCGTGGAATCAACTGGGAAATACGCTGATAAGTAGAAATATGTGAGCAATTCTAGCACGTAGATGCCTCCTTGTATTGTTACCTAGAAACAAAACCAGCTACTCTTTCCGCATTATATTCTGAATAATAAATCACTGGAACGCCATTTTGTACGTCAGTAACGCTGTTGGGGCATTTCCCTACGGACCGCTGTCTCGCGCCACATTCGCGGCGGCATGCTTAAGCAACTGGAGCGGGACAGGGCCCGGCACAGATGGTCTGGGGTCAAGCTGGACTTTTTTTTTGAAGTTAGAAGCAACGGGGATATCGTTTTATAAGGTCCTGGGGGAAGCGCCGATATAAAAAAGTCGAACATGTCAGGTTTTACGAGTTGAACGTGTTCTTTCGCAAGCGCGCGAATTTCAAACGCAAGACTCAAACAAACAAATGCCTTGTTTACAGCGCAGAAACAATCACATGGCTCCGAATTTGGACTATGTGTATAAAATACTAGTTGGCAAACCCGGCTCCGCCCGGGCCTGTCAATAATATATTTGTAATCAGCATGCTCGATTACCCCCCTGTGCCAACTCCCAGCCCTGTAGCTCAAATTTTGCAAAAAATCGATGAAATCGATATCGATCGATAACGAAAAGTATCCTATGACACGCTCCCTGCCCCGAAGTATATGTGTGCCAAGTTTGGTCCAAAATAAAAATTTCTATTCCGCATATACGTACAGAAGACATACAGACATACAGACAGACAGACATTCAGCTTTATATATAAGATTACTCCAAACTACGTTATGTAAAAAGTAAAACTTATGTGTCCTAATATCCGTTCCTTTTTTTTCTAATTTGTTGGTTTCTAGACCAACACCAAACCAACTGGGTTGGTTTGGAGCATAAATATCGGACAGTTCACATAAGTTTTGGCCCTTTTTGATTTAGACGATCAGAACGGTCAAAAATCCTATCATATAGTGAAGAGAGCGAATTGAACCATTGCCTCTCCTCTGTTTTTGAAAAGGTAGTGTAAATCTACGCGCTGATAGATATTGCGCTCCAATCACATGCGGTGTCCTTTGAACTATGTGGCGAAAAATGCATCGCCAGATTGTTGAGGCCACAGATTTAATTGACCCAGGAGATTTTCGACATTCTGTGCACTAAAATGTTACCCTACACAATGACAGAGCTTTGAATCAACCCAAAATGTTTCTTTTTGCTTTTTTCGTCATATTAGGTACCTCAGAATGCGCTTTTTTCGTTATTTATTTTTATTTTGATTGAATAAGGGCTTCCCTACAGATTTTCGTCAAGAGGGACTTCGTAAATTTTCGCGAAGTCATGGGGGACTTCGTTTCCAAAAATGCTCCAAACCAACGCGTGCCGGGCCCTGGAGCGGGAACGAGTTTTGCTGTGTGCACGATGTGTTGAGATAGGTCAAGCAGAGGCTGTAGCGTACTATAGTGCAAAATGCCGTTTTCCCGAAAACCTCTCTTACTTGTTGTACAAATGCTCTTTCCATATTCCTTCTTTTGGCCTGCTGCGTTGTTTCAAAGGCTGTGACTCCCTGAAAAACATACTGAAAGGAAAGCAACAGATTTGAGACGAACTTGCTAACCTGCTTTCTTCTTCGAAAGTTCATTCTTATAAATGTACACGTATTCATAATGGCGAACATAGAGATGGTAATAAGGCCACGAATGAATTCGGCATAGTACACGTGGATTATTTTGCACGGTGGAGTTACATAGTCTAACATCCACCGCTGGATTGAGAAACCCATTTGACAGGAAACTGGAAATGCAAAAATTTTTGCAGAATTATATTACGGCAATGGACAGTGTAAACGAGTATAAACACGCAAAGACTGAACGCCGTTGCCTTCTACTAAGGATAGTTTGTGTTTGGAAGAGACAGCAGACGGTAAGGGGAGCAAGAGTGCGCTTGCTGAGAGAAACGCAGACAACCACCGCAATGGCGCCCCTTCTCGCGTGTGATGACTCGCCTTTGCACATAAGTTTGTCCTTCTGATGAGTAGTTTGTTACAAAAAAAAATTCTGGAGGACTGTTATAGCGAATGATAGCTAGTTGAAGTTTTTTTACTTACCATACACTAAATAAAAGGAGAAGAAGACTGAGAAGGCCACTGTCATGATGATGAGCACATTTGTAAGCCTATCCGTGAAAATTACTGAATAACGAGTCGGGAAATAGATGGAGATGAACCTAAAGTGAATCAATTATTATATTTTGGGTACTATTCCATATTGCTGGGTGCAGTTATGGAGAGAGGGCCAAAATATGCAGGTTCCCCCCTTGTAATTTTTCTCCGTCTAGAACTTGTAAAAAACGCAATTTTTAAGGGAAAATAAAGAATCGAAAAACCCTACCTGTTCACTGCAATGATGAGATGTGAAAGTATGGACACATCATAGCAGATGAGGCACAGTTGCCCAAATCGCGCAGCGATTTCCAATCGTTGGAGTGCTTTGACATCGCTAAATGTAAAATAATCTATAAAAAAGATTTTCTTGCAAATTGCTGAATCAAGACAAGTGCTATGTTTTCCATGAATGCTTATTACTCCTTATTACCAGTACCCGGTACATTCTGCATACCTTGTTATTTATGAAATTACCACGCAGCAGTTTTCAAGTAGTAGTTGTCTGAATGGTAATTGACTAGGAAATTTTCGTGAGTAAATAAGATTCTGTAGACCTAAGACTTTGCAAGTCAAATCGTTACTATGATGGGTATGATAATGTTAGCGGAAAATGAAAGCAACAAAATTGAAAAGGAAAGAGAAGGTTTCAAAGGTAAATTTCAACTGGATGCCTAAACTATCTCCTGCTTTTCTAAGCATACTTGTCAAAAATCAAAATCTCTTTTGATTTTTGACAAGTATGTTCAGAAAAGTTACGAAAAAAGAAAGAAAAAATTACGAAAAAATTGTGAAAAAGAATACGAAGAACTGAAATCAATGTCTTAAGTCCTCCGCACCTTCGCTCCGATTTTGCAAAATATTTTTTGAATGTATCATATGTGATTTATCCCACATTAACGTTGGCAGGGACGATCTTTGCGCGGAAAAGAGAAATTTATATTTAGCTTTGTGAGTTTGAATATAGAATGACTGTTCAATCGCGTCGCCAGAATATTTTCGGGGGAGGTAGGGGGGAGGGGGGAAGAACTCTTCCTGTATTGTTGTAAACTTAGGTAGATTTCCAAAGAATTTTCAGGATACTCTTTGAAGCACAAGCTACTTAGGTAATCTCCCACGTTACAATCTTATAACTTATAGAAACAACTTTCAATATTCTCGCACCCGTTCTCTGCACGGGTATTGCACAACTGAATCTAAACTTCGCAAGAAAATCCTCGGTACATTCTAGGTGGGTCTCCGGCCAATCAAGAATTCAAAAAAAGAAAACATTTTGTTAAACAACTATAGTAGAGTCTATCCTATCCCTTACTCTAAGGATTATTTCGCCGTTTGACTACGCCTTGGTATAGCGTATTCCCAGAACAACTACGCAATTTTCAATCAAAACTAAGTATAGGTCTGCGCATAACTTTGTTAATGAACAGGATATAAAGGCCTTACGCGCTCCATGTATGCTAATCAAGAATCTATTAGACTCCCTACTTCCCCACGAGGTACGCCATTTCTAGGGTGAAAGAGGGAAATAATTGGAGAAAAAAGAACAAGGCTTGGGTGAAAAAAATCAGTCAGAGCAGCATTATGAAAGTCATAGGCAATTTTAAAAAAATTACAAGCAGCTTTCTAGAAGTATGACTTTCTGACGATGTAATCAAAATTTCCAATAGAGTTGACTTTCAAGTCCTAGGATAAAAAAATGTTTTTGAAAGACTTACAAGAACAGCACAGGTGCGAAGTACAACGCCCAAACAGCTGAGAATATAGCATCTCCGATTGCCTAAAAATGAAAAAAATAAGATTTTTTTGTTTTGATCACAATTAGGACGGAGAATGTTGTCTCAAAGTAATTTCCAAGAAGTTTTTGGGTGATAATTTCATTTTCTCATCACAAAAGGGTTCACTACATGAGTAATTATCTGAATATAAAAGCATTAAAATATTTTAACAAAATACCGTTTCATTGATTAGGGCAAAGAATATTAACAGGCGAAATTCCAAGAAAATTATGTTGCAATTTCTTTTACTTTTTCTGTCCATAAATTTTAACGGAACTATTGAAGATTAAAAAATTTTGAAGAAAAAGACCAAAAACTTTTAATCGCAAGTGTTTCCGTTTCATCAAGAATACAGTTGTAATGCTTTTACCTGCAACTGCAATAATCGTCCAAACGAATTTCGAAGTAACGGAATTCGAGGGATATAATGTGCAATGAAGACGTTCACCACCACTCCAACAAAGGCAGTCTATAAAAAATTCTTGATGATTCTTTGGAATTTGGAGCAAATTATGACTTACAATGAATATAAGCACCGAAGCGATACGGTCCTCGTCTTCAACCCGTTTTTCGCTGTCCATGAGCTCTAAAAATAAGAATTTTGGGGAGAAGAAAACCATGAAAAAATCTTATGGATTATTGAGACAATCGACATCGCGTAATCTTTATAGTGAGGATAAATAGCACGTTTACGTGGTAAATAAGCGTAAGCAAAAATTTGCTCCGCCTGCTCTAATGAAACGCTCTGATTGGTCAGTGATAATGGTTGAGATGATTTCACTTAGTTTTCCCTTTTTATGGAAGCATCAAATTACTCGACCTCGCTGAGGACATTCGAGAACAAAGGCTAACATGTTCGTCACCATTCGTTCTTCTCTTATTTCAGACTAAAGAACATAATGGGCAGTGTTTAGAAAAATGACACGTTGAAAAAAGAAAATTTGATCGAAATAGCTATGGGAGGAGAGAAGAGAACGATGACTCAAAAAAGTTGGACTTTTCAATCAGGCGGGATAATTTATGCGGAATTCGAGATGAAGGCAGTTGAACGTGAGAAAAAAAACGACCAAGTGAATGAAGAGATTAAAAGACTCTGCCATTCTCTACTCTTAAGACTTGTGGGACATTGTAACCAAGTTAGAAAAATTCACTTGATTCTTGAAGCAGTATATGGAAAATTCCAAAAGTTGGATAAAAATATTAATCAATGGAGCAAGTGAGAGAAGAGTAAAAAAAAACTTTCCGAGCAAAAAGAAGTACTACAATACACCATATTTCTACAACACTTACAGAAATTTTCTGTTTAATAGCTAATTTGTAAGGAAAAATTTTGTCTATTGAGATAAAACATTGAAAAAACTTACGCATATGTGTCCGGTTCAAAAAGTCCATTTTCACGGTCAAACTAGCTCAGTACTGGCACTTCTAGGCTGCCAAAAGCTTAAATTTTGTAGTCTCATAATGACCGTAAATTGTAAAGGACGTTTGAGTACATAATGGAGGGCACAATGAAATGTACCTTTTTGTAGTAGCCTATGACAAAAAAATATTCTTTTACTCCTTGGTTCACAAATTTTGGAGGCATTGCAGAGGATAAGGATTTCTCGTATGTTATGTAACTATAGTTATTATTTTTCAAGAAAACATTCAGGTATTTCATCGATAAAAATTTAAGAATACCGCGTACTCGATATTGTATTATGCAGTTCTAAGTGTAGTCTAACTCTCACAAGTACATAATACAAAATCAACATCACACCGGGATTCACAGAGATTATGTGCATTTCATTCCTGCAGCCTTTACAAAAGTATTCTTTCAAAGCGGGCCCATATGGAAAGACACATAGAGTCGCTGTTACTGCGTTTGATAACGAATAAATAAATAACAAAAACTCTGAGGAAGCTGAAAACATATTCAAAATTTTATTTCGTGTTTTCCTAGCTGAGAATGAACGGCCAATTTGACTCTAATAAAATCTGAATCTATTACGAAGATCTTACCTTTGTTTCAACTGGCTTGACGGCTGGAAGGCGGGGCTTTGTGACCTAAATAGGGCTAGATGATGATAGAGAGCATGCGCGCAACAAGGACGCAGACTGCGTTGCGGGAGCGAGCGGCTTTAATTTGGTCACAAAGCCCCGCCTTCCAGCTGCCAAGCCAGTTGAATCAAAAGTCACATCTCACTCATGATCGGCCAGTCATACTTCGACAGAGGAGAATTCAATGACAACGCATTTGTATATAGTGCACTTCCCCCCCCCCCCCCTCAAATCGTTCCCATAGATTCCATTAACATGTCTGCTGTTTTGACGTGTTAACTCCAGCAAATAGGCATGAGGTGCTTAATCGAAGTTGACACGTTGAAATGATCGAAAGCAGCCACTTTGATAGTACCTACGGGAACATCCCCGGGGGATGCACGGTAGCTCCAAAGCGTTGCGTAGTTGTAGCAGAGTAGCTGTTGAAGGAAACTTTCAGGCAAAATTTCGCCCTCATGTTTTTGTTATTCTGGGGCCTTTCCATGGCTGGATTACAGTTATAAAATTCAAATTGTCCAAAACCCTCAAAAAAACCTAATTTCTGGGGGACCCTGTTTTGAGAGCGCGGACGACTTTCGGATTGTTCATTCCTCAGCTCGCCGGCGAAGAAGAGCTGCAACTGCATGGATGATCCATGATCGATCGAAACGTGAGCACACGCCTTCAGGGGGAGGTTTGTGATACGAGGGGTGGTTTGTGATACGTATCACAGGCCCGTATCTCCTTTTACAAGCCACGTTAAAGGGGACCAACGTAGATAAGATACTCATGGGGCCCGTATAAGAGCCATGTGCTTTTCTGACTGGATGAATCTTGC